CCGACCCTAAATCTATGAAACTATGAAACTATGAAACTTAATTCAAAATTTCATGGAATTCACAGAAACTCTGAAATCAAGGCATTGTCTGTGAACTCCACAAAATTAAAAAAAAACCTTACTAAAAATAAGATGGTGGCTCCCCAGTGGAAGCCAACAGTTCTTATGGCCGCTGTGGTCCAGCCTTGCAGCCCCCTGGGGGGTGGGGAGCCATGGGTGCAAAGGGGAGCAACCACTCCTTGTTGCTGACTGACTGAAAGCAATGCCAATCAGCAGTGAGGGGCAGGCCATATGATGGACATGCCTCTGGAGCAGTGGAGAGGGGCAGGGCCACACAGCAGACAGCCCTCTGGGCCAATCAGCAGCAAGCAGTGGACCCACCAGAGCCCCTCATCCAACCAGTGGTGAGGGGTCGGCTTGCCACAAAAATACCACAAAATTGGCTCCATGCACTGCAAGTGGCCTGTGAAAATCCCTTTCACTTGCTGCAACTTAGGTAGATCCCTATTTCTAACTTGCCACCATCCTACCTGTAAGAATAAGTCACAAAAAGCAGTGAGCGGGGGAAGACCCGCTTGATCAGGGTGAAACAGAGTCACATTAAGGGAACCCAATTAGTGGAATAAGATCTAGATCCTAGAAGCTGAGCAATATAAGGCATGTAAATAGGTTGTGGCAGGTATCACCCATATTCTGCTTTGAAATTTCTTCTTGCTCTGTAAAGGCAAGGAGAGGTAACATTTGAAGCACTTAAAAATGGAGTGCTTCAGTCATAGGCACATGAACAGCCCCCTGCCACACCCCCTAGCTAGAGCATTTCAAAATCATATATATGAAGTGGTATGCGCTACTCAGGGGACATGCTGTGTCCATCCATGGAGGTGTGGGGGTAGAGTGGACTGCCAGAGAGCAATCTCTTGCATGTTTCACCTCCACTCTCCCAGCATACCTCACCACCACCCCTGCCAGAAATGGGAGACTGGGGGTCCCCCATGCCTCCTGCACCTCTCCCAGTTCTGGCAGGAAGGCACTTTGGGAGAGAAGACATGGAGCATACAGGAGCTATGCAGTGACAGACCACTCCACACACTGTTATTGAGCACTTTGCTCCACCTCCGCCCCCACCAACAGTGTTTTGGGGGATGCTTTGTCCTGTGGGTTTGCTCTTACCCACCCCACAAAGAGCAGGGGAGCAGAACCAATATCAGTGAGAACTTTCCTGTGTGCTCCACCTCTGCTTTCCTGGACCACCTCCTTGCTGAAGCTGATAGAGATATGATGGGTGTGTAAGGCCTCTGGTCTCCAATTTCTAGCAGGGAGGAGGCACTCCAGGAGAGCAGAGGCAGAACGTACAGGACAGCAATCACTGACTGTCTGATCTGCTCTGCTCTCCTCTCACTCCACTCCATGGAGCTGGAGGACTTTGTGGAGCACTGTGGGATACTGATGGACTGAGCCCTCCCCTGTCATGCTCTGTAGAATATGTACATGGAGTCTCAAGCACTTCATTATGAAGCACTTCTAAATGATAGTTGTTCAGGCTATTTTTGGAGCAGTTCTGCCACATCTGGAGCACTTCAAAGTGTGTATACATTTTTTTGCTTACTTTTTAAAGTGCTTCTAAGTCCTTTGAAATTATTCAAATGTTACATCTGTCTATAACCTTAGCGACCCAAAGTAGCTGCCAAATGCTCTGTGCACTCAAAGGAGGTCCTGAGGAAATCCCTCTGCGTTTGCTTTACTGAAGGTTACATAGCAAGGTACTATTCACCAGGGCTGTAGGAAATTTCGCCGGCCGTTTCATTTCAATGCTGTTTCAACTCATTTCGAGGTCGAAACAGCAAAATCAAAATAAAACAAAGGGCATCAAAACAGCCTTGAAACAAAACGAGGCTAGTTGAAACGTTTCAAAAGTTAAAACATTTCGACCATAACGCCGGGGATGGGAAGTCAAACCAGCTGGGCTGACTTCCCATCCCCGGACAATGTAGCTAAACATCAAAACAAAGTCGAAACAACTTTACTGTTTTGATGAAGCAAAACGGAACAGCTGTTTCAAATCAAAATGAAAGTCGATATGAAACACTGTTCCGTCCAAACCTCGAAACTCAAGGCAAAATGGTATGGTGCCATTTCACACAGCCCTACTATTTACCACTGTGGGCACAGTTTTGTGACATTTGCCCAGTGCAGAACCCAGAGGGACATGTGTATAGAGAAGTGCCTTACCCAGAAAGAAGGCAGAAATTCTGATTATTTAACCAGAAATACTACTATCTAGAGCAGGACAGAACATACCTCAGTTAAGCACTGTTATCTGAATTTACAAATAGGAAGGTGGAGAGACAGATTAACCTATATGACCTGCCTAATGACATATATCAAGCAATCATTCAAGTCTGGGCTAGAAGCCAGGATTTCTGAGCCCTCGTCCAGTGATAGAACAATTAGATGAAAATGCCACCTCTGATAGGAACCCACATAAGAGAAGGAGGTGGGTGCTAGAATACTCATAACTGGAGACAACTGAGCTAAGAGTATGTAGTCTATGTAATCAGAATATTTTAAAAAAAGAACTTTTGCCAGCCCACACAACAAAAATGTATCACTGTACTCCTACAACACATTGTACTATATTCCTTCTTGTTAGTACTATGTCAACAGTTGGTATAACACTCTTACTAACATATCCTTAAGTTAGAAGTAGGAAGTGAGTAATAATGCAATTAAGTACATTCCTTGTGTTATTTTTGTATATGAATGCAATATATTAGTGATACGTGTCAATCCTCTGAATCAATAAGAAAGATAATAGATTGTTTGACTGCTGAGCTGTATAGCACAAGCTAAAGGTTGTTCAGTTGCTGCCCTCTTGCTTTCAGGGATATTCCAATAATTATAAGCAAGTTTCTGTGAAGACAGAAAATATACATAGACTTGACATTCAAACTAAGAGATCACAAATGCTGCAAATTTGATCTTAGCCAAATAAATTTCTTTAAAGCAGAGCTCTGTTCCTATATTTCTGAGATGCTTTTGATGCCCTGTGAAAATGAAAGCCAGGATTATTCAATTTGATTATTTAAGAAACTAGCAAATAAACAAAAAAAAGTTATTTGTCACTGTTCTGTTTCCCAGTTGCTAAATCTCTCCAATGAACATATGAATACAGCCAGTTGTCACTCACTGTAGGATGTGCACTTATCCATACAAAACCCCTCTGAAGTGGAGCGTTGCCACATTTCTATGAACAGAGCAGTGAAATGCAGAGAAATTAAGTGACTGCACAGGAACTCTACAGCACTACAGAAAACTTAAGCCAAACCTCCAGAATCCCAGGGTGGGAACACATGACATATTTACTGCTAAGTAATTTACTTCAAATTTTACTCTAGAGTAAAATTATACTGGTGTCCAGAGCAGAGACACCAGTATAAGTAGCCATCTGTAGCAGGTAGCTGCTATAGCACCACTCACTAGTAGGTGGCCGGGAAACAACCATGGCCTATTTGCATTGAGCAGAAAGCTATCTCAGGATGGGCCTGACATGAGCTGTGAACACACAGCCTGCACATCGGTGAAGCTTACACTAGAATATACTTACTCCTCACCTTCTGAAAGGAAACTTATATCTAGGACTGGGAGCTTTACAGGAGTGCATTTGTGTCCATTCCACTTTTATCTTGGTGCAAACTCAAATTACTGCACAGTGAATGCATTGTGTTTTCATACCTCTAGTCAAATACCAAAACCTGGATGCTCCTGCATTATAAAACGTGAAAAGAAAATCATAATAAAGGCAAAATATATACAATAGCTAATTACAAGATACTATAGCTTTCTACAGCAATGTATAACATAGAATGTTCCATGTTATGAAAATTAAATGGGAACATATCCATTTAAAGACTGTTTATGTATGCTTCTGAACATGTTTCCCTTTGAAACATAAAAAAAAAGCTATAAGTAAATAGTAAAAAATGGAAGCTACTACCAGCTTCACTTCTTGACTTGTTTTTGAAATGGCAGTGGCTTTGCTTTGTGAAACCTGTTGCATGTCCATCAGCTTGGAAAGTATTTCCATTTTTTAAAGCTGTTTGCTAGAAGCTAAAGTCATTGCAAAGGGGTAAAAATTCAGCAATGTTGCTTAAAGGTGACCTGTAAAAAAGAAAAAAGTAAGTTTGTGTCTTTTGTCCCTTTTTACTGATGTATGGAAGAGGCCTGGGTAATGGTGGAGTCCTTTTTATTTTTTTATTTTTTAACTCTGGCCTTCCCCATTTTGTGGACCATCTCCTTAGTGAATCCAGAAGACTGGAGTGAGAGCTTCTGAGAGCTTCCTCAGTATACAGTAACTGAAGAAGTGACCTGCTGAATTGAATTTTTTTCTCTATATAGTGTATCAAGTTGTCAAATAGACATTTGCAAAAAGTAGCAGAAAAATATGTGCTTTCAGTAGTCCACTCTCAAGTAAACAAATTTACCTCCCTGAAATCTATTAGTACTTTGACATATGCCCTACTGAATACCCTTCACAACCCTCAAGCTTCATGCTGTGGGCATTATTTTTTCATGGGAAAGTAATAGTGGGAGGATGCACAGCTATTACTATTCTGGAACATACAATGAGTGGTCCATCTACTCATGAATCCTCCTTTCAGCAACAGCATATACAGGATGCTTCAGAAAAACTGAAAAAATAAATTTCCTGCTTGCTCCCCACCCCCAACTCCCACAATGCACTTAGTTGTGCACACTCTCTGCTGACCACATATTAGCCAATACACTGAAGCAGGAAGATATTATCTGTCATAACTTATGCAGAATTTAATTGCAGATGCTATTCTTATGCGTAAGTCATAGTTCAGAGTTTGGATTCATGTGCTATAGGCCTGTGACAGTACATCATTCATTTTATTTTGATTAGAAAGCCTTAAAAGTAAAACAATAGCGATGCAGGCCCTTCCTTTATGAAAGATGGTACCACACATATAGCTAGCATTCTGCTGTGGTTTAACTTGCCCTATGACTGAAAATCAAAGAACTAGGCCCAGAGTTTTATGTAACAGAATAAAGCTTACAGAATTTGAGCCACATTTTGTATGGCACACAAGGACAGTCAGTCTGAAAACAAGAAAGGAAGACTTCAAATCAGGATATTATTACAGTGGTGTACAGTATACCAGTATTATTCAACCAGAGAAAAAGCAGCCTATAAAATGCCTGGTATGTCCTTCCTGAGTATATAATTGGCATACATAACTGTGACCAATGTATTATTAGATTTTTTCCCTTCTTGAGAACAAGCTTTCTGTCTAATTTGAGTTCAGACTGTTTTTGGAAACTTTAGGTCATTCATATGACAAAGACCTTTACAGATAGTGTTCTACTCATCATTTGGTCTATAGTATTGAAGCAATAACACACATTATTTTATGATTCTGTCCATGTTACAATAAAAACCTTCATTACAGCTCTTGCAAAATACTGTCTATAAACTTTAGTAACTGTACCATTTTGTACATGCAGAAATATTAAATTACATGGCAATCTCCATGCTAAATAAAAGAAAATAACGTTATAAAAATGAGCTACCCACAGAAGCAGGGTTTGAGCTATGCATTCTTGAATTCTAAACATCGGTATATTTTTAAACTCAAAAAAGGCATGGTACAGTATGGCTGTTTGTTCCAGGAAGAGTTTCTATAAGCTTTAAGAATAACTAAAAAGCAGAGTGACTTACATGCATTAGGAGTACTGAGGAAATTAAGCAGTGGTTCTGGCAGAAGGAAAGAAGCAATGCATTTTCTTTAAATAGAACATTGAAAAAGTGATCAGTTACTCTGTACCTTGAGAGATGTTCCAAAAGAGATCCGATATTTCCTACTTTGAGAAGCATTCCCAGTCAAAGAAATACTTTAGGAAACCTGAACTCTAGGAAAGATCAGCAGATTTGTTGTGTATCCTCTCTCATCACTCTTCTATTATTTTTATGATTTTGTAAATGTTTTCTATCCCCTCTCATCACCCTGCTATTATTATTTTGTAAATGAGCAAGACTTCATGAATGTATGAGCTTCTATAAATCATGCCAGGATAACTTTAGAGCCCAGCTTGATAAAAGGGGCTTTTTTCACAAAAGATATAAAGAAAAGGTAATGTTGGCAGTTCAATAATGGGAGGTGATGGTGAGACCAGGAAAGAATATCAACCCGCAGAATTCAAAGGGAAAGATATAAAATCATGTCAGGGAGCAGAAGGAAGCAGCCTTGTAGAGTTAATGCCAGTCTCTTCATACTAAGTGTAATGTGCAGAACTTTGGTTTCTTGATCAAGAAAATTATTTTCTGCAAATGAAAATCTCCAAATATATTTGTGTCATCTTGCCATAATAAATCATATGCAGTCAATAAGTGGTATTACTTGATTTACTCTCCATAAAATCCAGATGAAGCCAGAATGGAATTTGACCTTCTTTCTAGATGCTGAAGGCACTTGGGAGATAACAAGAGACTGCCAGAAATAGGAGAATTCTGCTCCACAGAAATAATGTATGAGAAAAATTATATAGAAATAAGTTCTGTTTACTGTATTGATCCTAGAGCTGTAATCAGTTCAGGTCCCCAGGCATCACCATTCCTTTTGGCCATAAACTGGTCGCACTGGTACCATTGCTATTCATATATTTGTTAACCACACCGTTGCAATAGCTATTGTGCACTGAGAACTAGTGGATGAAATCCAATACTGAATTCTATATATCTGCTTAGACCAAACTCTTGGCAGGATCCTTTTCTGCAGGAGTAACAAGGACACCCTAGTTTCTATACTTTCCCCTATATTTAGCTATTATAGGACTACTGTATTTTGAGTGAGAGGGACTTCTCCATTTTAAAAAATACTGCACTGGTCCTATAGACTACACAGACACATGGCCCTTTGATTACATGCGTAGGCATCTTCCCTTTTTACTGTACAGTTGTTCATACTAACTTCCTTCCATGTGAAAAAGGACTAAAAAAACCCAATGGATGGTTATAACGAGGTATGCATCTCCAGCCATGCCCAGATGTTTCAGCCTCAGCTGCTTGATGTGCCTACTGAATTTGCCTTGCAACAATGCATGCCATGAAATCATTATTTACTAATATTTGCAAAAATGCAACAGATGTGCAAAATCAGCCAGGGCACAGTGTGCATTAGGGGAGGGCAGCTGATTGCTTATCTCCTGAAAGAAACTTTATTAGAAACACCTCTAGCTGTTTGCTGGCATGGAAATTGTTTGTATTAGAGCAGTAATAGACTTTCCATAATGACAGTTTTTCCATTAAATTTGTGTTTTTGACTCTCCCTCTACAAACTCTCCTGTAAATGCTCATAGCCACAGCCAGACTATAAACGTTTGTGTATGAGGAGAGATTTTAAAGAGATAGGGTTAAAATCCTGACTCCACAGGAATCCAGGGTCTGTTTCCTGGACTTTGTCAGGCTGGGTTCGAAACTTGAAATTTGGTCCTCAGCTCTTGGGCTGGTGGGATACATTTGCTAGGACCCTTCTGTGACATCGCATCTACAAAAAGAAGAAAATCTGACACTTCTAGTTTTGGTTATAGTCTGTTTTTAAACAGAAACAGTGTCTTTTGGCATTTTAAATCCAGTCTTTGATATACATCTTCTGTTATGTTCTACAGCACGACTGTCAACCTTTAAGCCCCTGGGGGCCACATATACCCCAGGGGCTGCACCAAAAGGTGTCACATGCTGCATGGACTGCACCAGGTGATCCATGAGCCACCAGGTGACACTTCCCATACCCATACTGCTCCCCACACCCTCATGGGCACCTCCTTATGCTATACTGTGAACCCTTCCTACTGCTGCACTGTGCAGACATAGTCCCCCTGTCCCCACTCCCAATCCCCTACTGCAACATGTGCCCTGATGGGCACCCACACTGCTGCCCCAGCCCGCATGGGTGCAATCCCTGTACCCTTGCATGACCCCAATTCCTGCCCTACTGCATGCAGCTCAAACTCATCCTCAGCTCCCTGTGCAGTGTGCTGGAAGCTGCAGCTGGAGAAGGAAGGGGAGCCCAGAACCTCTGGCTGTTGTTTCAGCCAAAATGATGCAGGGAGTGGCAGTGGGGTGAAAGCCCAGGGGCCACAACTTAACCCCTCGAGGACCACATGTGGCCCATGGACCACCAGTTGGACAGCCCTGTTCAGGGGCAAAGCCTAGGTGGTGCACATGTGTGCACATGCAA